TGGCCCAGGCTGCCCAGGGAGGTGGGGGAGTCACCATCCCTGGAGGGGTTGAAAAAAACGTGTGGACTTGGTACTTCAGGACATGGTTTAGTGGTCAGTTAGTCTTGGGTTGAGCAGATGGACTTAATGATGTTAGAGGTTGTTTCCAACCTTAATGATTTTATGATTCTGTGATTCTAAATGTGAAGAGCAGTGAGGCCCAGAGGTCCTTTCCAACCCCTACAATGCTGGGATTCTGTGCCTTTGGTCTGTGCCAGCTGAGCCACCCTCTTACACTCGCCACTATCAGTGAAGTTCCACTCCATCTCCTCCAATTGCACATTAACACTCCGCATCATGAGGACTCAAACAGCAGCAGAGAATTGGCTTTCTCCAAAGCGTGCCAGCCCTGCTGCAGGAAGGGACCCAGACAACCTAGAGCTGGCGTGGCCTGGGGAGGCTGATAACCCACCAGGGTGAACCAGAGCAAAAAGGTGTCTTCAGATTTATGTCTGTGTTCTGATCAGGTGAGCACAAACATCCAGAATTTCTCTAGCTCTGTATGAATCTCCTCTGCAGGAGAGAGTTTCAAATAAACAGACAGGAGTAGCAGCATACACACTTAGATAATTTTAGAATATTTTCTCTATGCTGAACTTTTCAATTTTTTAAGAGGCAATCCCCATTTTGGATTAATGCAGGCTATTACAGAAGGAATGCACTCTGCAGTCCCTCGTGGAGAGCTGCCTAAATGCCATTTCTTGTTTCCTCCAAATAAAATAAATGATTAATGCTAAAAGCTTGTCACTCTCTTTTGTGCCTGTGAAGTTAGACACACATACCATAATAAACTGCTTTACTGTAGAGCTTTAATTGTATAAACATTAAAAAATGAGCAATTAGCAAACATTTCTGCTGATAGCAACCAATGCATTAAATAAGATGCAGAGAAAACAGTAAAAAAGATGCACAGAAAGCAGGGGGGGGAGGAAGGTATTTGAGAAAACATGTTTTCTGACCTCACAAAAGAAAAGAAGAAGGAATCTCTTCCACAGCAGTATTCCATTTTCCACTAAAACAGCACTGTATTTATTACTTTGGATCCATTTGGCTTTTATCTGACCCAAAAAAAACTCTGAAAAGGGGAAAGCTGGAACCACTCACTGAAGGCTCAAGAGCAACATTGAGCTATTTATCTGGCAAGGCCACAATGTCGCGCTTAAGCCACATGCTTCATCAAATTGCACAAATAATGCTGCAGTTGCTAACAATGTGCGAAGACAGGAAAACACGTAAGCTATCTAAATGAAACATGCAGACAGCATTCCCAGAGGAGTTTGGAAAGGGCCCAGAAAGCATTACTGCATCTCGTCTGCAAGAGAGCAAACCAGGGAATCTGTCTGGCTTTGGTTCTTTGGTAACATAGGTGTAACTGCTGGGATTAATTGCAACTAAAAAATTAAGAACTTTGATTCAATAGTTAGCCAGATAAGGAATCATACTCAGAATTATTGAGCGAGAATAAAAAATATTTTTAAACAGTTCTTTGTAATACACAGAATAGATTTGTGTAAACTGCAATTCTGTGTGAATTGCAGTTCAGTTAATGTGAAAAATATTTTCAGGCTTTATTTATTAAATAGACTGGTAAGTGAAACACCTTTTGTCTTGAAATGCTGAAGGTTTTCTTAACACTGTAGCATAAAGCATTGCTCAAGATGAAAAACTCCTACTTGGTTTAATGCTTTCTTTCTGCCTCGGATCTAGAGTTTAGTCCAGATCCATTGTTTGAGATCATGCATCCATTCCCTGCTTTTTTCTTTTCTCCCCCCTCCCCCAATGTGACAGTAACAAAGGTACTGCACTGCTTAGAAAACAGCTACCCATGCTTATGTGAGTTAGAAACCAGTCACCTTGTTGTGCCTTTCCAACTCCATCTCACATCCAACCTACTTCAGACACCACCCAAAGCAGTGGCAGACCCTTCCTGAAAAAGGATTCACTGTCCAGACCTTAGCTTCAATTCCAAGTTTTCAAGTACGCAGCAAATGAGTAACACGAAGTAAAATGTTTTTTGATTTGTTTTTTTTTTTTTTCCATTAAGTTAAACCCCAGCTATTTCATAGGATATGTCACATGATGAGAGGAATTTTCCACTTCAGTTGCACAGCTGCTGCTTGCACTGACCAGATGTGGAGCTGCATTAATAGCAGCTAGAACAACTCATCCAATAAAAAATTTCTAACAGCATAAGACCAAGAATATTCATAGCCTAAAAGGTTGAGTAACAAATAGGAGCTCCCTCAGGTGAACAGGAAATGTCTTTTTATTATTGAACCAATAAACATAGACTGTAAGAACTAAACACTCATTGAACGTGCAATATACATGTAGAGTGGCAGTGAGACAAGCTTGTTAACTGATCCAAACTACCACACTTGCAAACTTTAAGATAAATTCATCAGCCAGCAGACATATAGTCACATACTGCTTTTATGTGTAAATGCATTGGTTTGGGAATTATTAAAATAGAATTTGAGGCTTCACAAAACTGCAGGTTTTCTTGGACTCTAAAGGTCCACACAGTTCTATGTTGTGATTTATATCTGAATTGCACAACAAACGTGCCTTCCAAGCATGTCCAGCAGAACAAAGGAGGTCCTCCTCCTCCTCTACTCTGTCCTGGTGAGACCTCACCTGTAGTATTGTGTCCAGTTCTGGGCTCCCCATTTCAAGAGGGACAGAGATCTATTGGAGGGAGTCCAGCGGAGGCTATGAGGATGATTGGGGGACTGGAACATCTGCCTTATGAGGAGAGGCTGAGACACCTGGGCTTTTTAGTCTGGAGAAGAGAAGACTTAGGGAGGATCTAATTAATGTGTTTAAATATATGAGGGCTGGGTGTCAGGAAGGAAGGGGAAACCTCTTCTCACTTATGCCCTGTGGTAGAATGAGGGGCAATGCTTACAAGCTGGAGCACAGGAAGTTCCACCTCAGCATGAGGAAGAACTTCTTTACTGTAAGGGTTCCAGAGCACTGGAACAGGATCCCCAGGAGGGCTGTGGAGCCTCCTCCCCTGGAGACTTTTAAGACCTGTCTGGATGCGTTCCTGTGTGACCTGCCCTAGACCAGATGGTCCTGCTCTGGCAGAGGGGTTGGACTCGATGATCTTCAGAGGTCCCTTCCAACCCCTAACATTCTGTGATTCTGTGATTCTACAATTTTATTTTCACCTGCCAGCAGGTGAAATGACTACACTGAAAAATTAATAATTCCTACCTAATTATTCCTTTGATAGTGCTAAGTTTATCCTATTGCTTAGTCATGCCAAGTTCATTCTGGTAATGCTGTTTACCTCAATGCTTCTTCCCTTCAGAGCACTACACTAACCAATTTTTCTAAGTGCCTAGAGTCTGCTGCTAGAA